GGCAAAAGCTAACCTTCTTGGTGTTCTCGGTCTTGCCGGCGCCCGACTCGCCGGTGATGAGCATCGACTGGTTGGTGTGGTCGAGGAGCATGTTACGGTATGCCTCGTCGGAGACGGCGAAGAGATGGGGCGGCATCTCGTTTCTGGGAAAAGATATTTTTATCGCTCTCACTCTCTCTCCGTCACTCTCTCTCTCTCTCTCTCACTCGCTCTCTCTCTCTCTCTCTCTCTCTCTCTCTCTCTCTCTCTCTCTCTCTTTGCGCATCCTCACCTCCTCTTCCCCATATACATATTCGCGACACTCTCCGTGTAGATGGGCAACCTCTTGTACGGGTTGATGACGACGCAGAACAGCCCCGAATATGTCTAAACCCTCCTCCAACAATCTCTGCTATCTTGCCCTTACATATATGAGCATACAAGCGTATCGTGCCCTCAAATTGTGCAGCACCGAGGCGTCGTTGAGGAACGACAGGTTCGACATGTCTTCGGTTTTCTCAAACTTCGGTGGGTTCATCTCGGAACAAGCGTCCCTTTTAAAGGTTTGCTGAAAGGGGAGGGCGCATCCTAGGGGCGAGGCAGGTTACGGTACCTGGTTGCCCTTGGCGGTGATGACGGTCACGTCGTTCGGGGTGCTGGAGGTGATCTCGGCGGCCACGAAACCGTCCTCAGGGTCTGGGACCCAGACGTTTTTCTTTGAATCGTACGGTGTGGATTGGTCCTGAAATCCTCAAACTTTTCGCCAGATTTGAAACTGTCGCTGTCCCTTTAAAAGCTGGATATACGCGTTATTTGGCGCATTGCGTATCTGTCGGCACCCAGTCGAAACACGCGTCGATTTTTTGCCTTCGCAACTCCCTTAAACCAATTTTCAAACCGTACCTTGAGCATTTGCTCTCGTGATCTTCGCAGGAATTGCCAGCCCGGATCTCTCTCATAGTCATAAACGGCCATTTTACCTTGAAAAATTTGGGTTAAGGCTGGTTTTGGGGTACGGTAGGAAATTGGAATTTGGTAGCTTAAAAAGGCGTTACTAAATTGAGATAAGACAAGCGAAAAAGTAGAGTATTGAATCGGGTTACGGTATTTGGAAGCGTAGTTTGGTGTGAAAAGTACGGTACGCGATCGTTAGATAAAATGGGTTACGGTATCTTTAAAAAGGAAGTTCTGGTAGCCTAAGAAAATACGGTATCAAATTGGATTACTGTAGCTCGAAAAACAGCGTATTCCATTTGGCTACAGTAATCCAGCGAGCGGGTAGTTGGCGGAAAAATCGGAAAAATATTTGCAAACTATAAAAAGAGCACAAAAAGCAAATTTCCGTTTTACTACGGTATCCCGAAAAATACGGTAGATAGCGCAAAACGGCAAAAATGGATTTGCAATATCGTAATCAGAAAAGGAAGTTCCGTTACGTTAGGCTACAAATTGCGGCGGAAGTCGGGTTACGGTAGCTCCGGAAGCGGAATATTTAATAGGGTTACAGTAGTTTGTACACTATTTAACTGGATTACGGTAACCCAAATATTACGATAAATGCCCGAAGGAGCATCAATAAAAATTTAGAACAAAAGGTAAGGGTAGCTACTTTTGCGCTATGTCCAGCCCGGTGGACAATGGAGTGCAGTGTAATCCGGGAGTATTGTGAGGAATAGGCAAATGTGAAGGCAGGGGGACAACAGGGACAGCCGCTCGGAAATGGGCCCTAAGGGGGGCAGGGCCAAGGATGGGCCCTCACCTGGTAGAGGGGAGGGAGGGCCCACACACCCACAGATGTTGCCAGCCAGCCCACACACCGGCCCGATTCAATGTTATGACCTGGGGCTAGGAAAAGCACGCCCCGGATATCAAAGACCACCTGTGGAGGCGAGGGCTCTGTACCGATATAAGGGATTTCTGCCGATATAAGGGATCACCGCCGATATAAGGGATCGCTGCCGATATAAGGGATCGCTGCCGATATAAGGGATCACCGCCGATATAAGGGATCGGAAAAAAAACCCGAAAATGGCGGGTACCGATATAAGGGATCACGAAACCGGATTTTGGCCAAAATGTCGATATAAGGGATCACGAAACCCGATTTCGGCCAAAATGTCGATATAAGGGATCAGAAGAAGGATTTTGCGCGATATATTATTACATTGATGTATAGAGCTATTTATTTAGGTCGATTTCGAAAGAAATTACAGAGAAGTTGATAAAAACTAATGTTTTACGGAAGTATTGTCCAATCCGATGCCTTTGCCAGTTTGTGATCGTGGTGCCTCCGCCTTTCCTTTTCCCTCATCCACCTTATTTAGTTTTCTGCGACTCCCGCGTTAACCTCTGCCAGGACTTATACAGGACTTATTATATACTACTACTAGACACAGGATTTATTTAAACCGATGGACTAACTCGGTGATGCAGCTATTTCGATCCCTTACCTCTATCTGCTTTAGTACGACCTCTGCCATCAATTCTTCGGCGTTCCAATCAGCTTCCTTCCGGCCCCCACCAGTCTACCGAAAATCGAATAATACTTCCGTAAAACCTAGTTTTTATTAACTTCTCTGTAATTTCTTTCGAAATCGACCTAAATAAATAGCTCTATACATCAATGTAATAATATATCCCGCAAAATCCTTCTTCTGATCCCTTATATCGACATTTTGGCCGAAATCGGGTTTCGTGACCCCTTATATCGACATTTTGCCCGAAATCCGGTTTCGTGATCCCTTATATCGGTACCAGCCATTTTCGGGTTTTTTCCGATCCCTTATATCGGCGATGATCCCTTATATCGGCGGTGATCCCTTTTATCGGCAGTGATCCCTTATATCGACGGTCCGAGGCCCTGATCCCTTATATCGGCGGTGATCCCTTATATCGGCAGAAATCCCTTATATCGGTACAGAGCCGAGGCGAGTGTGTATAGGAATGAATCGTAGCTCTGGAAAATTCACGCTTGCTGTCACGCTCCCTTTAAGGGCAATACGAAACGCGTGGAATACCCCCCACACGGCGACTACCTGGAGTTGAGCTTCGGCTTAGGCTTAGGTTTAGGCGCAGGCTTGGGCTTAGCCTGGGTGCTGGCCTAGGCGTTGGGTTTGGACTTAGGCTTGGGTTTTGGCTTCGGCGTAGGCTTTGGGCTTGGATTATTCCGAGTGCTGGATTGGGTTTAGCCTACGCTTTGGCTACGGTTTTGGCTTAGGCTTAGCCCTAGATTATGCTTAGGCTTCGGGTTTTGACCCAGGCGTATTCCTTGAAGTCAGGAACTCTGCGTAACCTGCGACAATTACACGCCTGACCAAGTGACACCTAAAAATAGGCTTCACGTCTTTCACGTTTCAGTGTCGTTTGGCATGCCGGTAGCTGTCGAGACCTAGTCGATGGATGACGTCGATTCTGAGACTTCCTGAGACCGCTAAAGGCAACAATTTTCCAGTTGGGGCAGTCATAGTATGAATCGGTTTGCGATTAGGCCTGCCGTTGATGGATTAATAGAAGAAACTAGCTTTTTGCAAGAGTACGAGCTTTATCTCTCTCTCTCTCTCTCTCTCTCTCTCTCTCTCTCTCGCCTCTCCTGCACCCTGGCACTGATCCAGAAAGTTCAAAGATTTCTACCCCACTCCTCAAAACAGGTGTCGCCCCCAATTTCGACTTGTTTTTGTCAACCCGATGCGATGAGCGGATTTAATGCCATCCCCAGGACCCGTTGGCTGCTTGCCAACCCCCACCGGGTCGACTCGATCAGCTGTTACACCCCCAAGAGTTTCTAGCCATCGTCCAGCACGCACGCGTATAGAATTCGAGACTTCACCGGGCCCCATTTCGGCTTGAACAAAAGAAAGGAAAAGCCTGGGGGCCCTGGTGGTCGTCTCCACAGATTATGGGCCAGATGTGGCGGGGGCTGACGGATTGCGACGCCGCTGTGTGCATATGTTTAGGGCCACAAAACGGGCTCCGGCTTGCGACAAATGAGCCGAGCAACAAGCCGCAAAAGCAGAGAAATGCGGCCCCTAAAAAAATTGACAAATTTGTAGATCTGGAAAAAAAGAAATGCTATAATTATTGAAAATCGAGCAAGTCTGCCTCCGGGCATTTGAAATATATGCATTTCAGTCACATAACTTTTTATCAACCAGAAAAGATGCTTCTTAATTTTATAAAGTCCACAAATAGCAGAAGCCACCAAAGACTGGGCAAATTTTAAGAACCCGAAAATGATTATCACTCTTCAAAAACAAGCAAAAACTGACTCGAAGCCTTGGAAATTGATCTCAAAGTATACATAGCTTTTTGCTAACCATAAAATTTTTAAAATTTGGTTTTTCAACAGTTTTTGGTTTTTGCAAAGGAATTTACTCCGCGCCACTCAAAGGCATCTGCGGACCGCTTCCTAAAATGCACCCACACCACCGTACCCACCCCGTCGACCAATGAAGTCGAGCACGAGGCAGACATCAATGGGGAGACCGGAAGGAAAAGCCTGATAACCGGCTTCGAAACGAGATCTCCGGCTTCTTCAAGAGGATAAGCTTATGCTCTAAATGAAGATAAGCACTAAAGCTTCAACGTGACTTTATCAGGGCTGCATTTGTAGTAGTTTAAATTGTAATTTTAGTTCGGCCTCTCAATTTGACGTTAAACTTTAATAACTCCCTTCTCTCCAAAATTAGATCGTGACATTCCAGTCTTCTGGTTGTTTCGTATCCCACGAAACAGGTCCACCCCGCCAGCTTTTCCCAGTCATCACTTCCCGCCACAACATCACGCGCTTATGCAAATGATTTGCGTTCAAAACGGCCCCATGTAGCCAGTCCGCGCTCCCCTCATATTGCCTTCACATGCCCGGTATCTACGCAAAAAGCCCCCAAGTTGCCCACGGCAATTCCCACCCAAATGCCGCTGCCAACTAAAATTTTTGGCGATAAAGTCCGCGGACTTCCGGTGATTGACAAGCTGCTCAGGTTCGTTGGTGAATGCGTTGTTTGGCCTAATTCCATTTTTCTCTCCATTTTTCCCCTGATTGACTTTTTTTAATCCGTATTTTACAGAAGAAATCGCCGTGGATCGGATGCGTCTTCAGCCCCGCCGCCGTCGCATAGAATGGGCCAATTCGTGAGCAGCCGAAAGAAGACCGCTTCGGAGAGCGAGCCCGGTGCGCGACCTGGCCAGCCCATCTCGGTAAGCGCTATTTAAGTTTTTGGGGTTGTTCAAAACTACTTTTTTCGCGTCGAATCCGAATATATCCGATGCAGGAGGCCAAAACGCCAGGTTGCTCCAGAATTTAGATTCTAAAATCATGTTTGTGTGACCTACATTTTCCCAATTTGGCACTTTTTTCATTGTCAGGTATGGTGAACCATTGCTTCGGATGGAACAAAGCCTTCTGCTTGGGGAAGCAATATCATAGCAAATCCTATAAGTCATTTATATTTAATTTCCAGCTCGCCGGCTCCTCAGCTTCCGCCAAATTAGCCCAATACATGGAATTGTTCAAGGAGCGCGGCTACTTACCCGATTTTTTTGCTGATTCATGAACATCCGAGGTAGCGCTTGCTTGCTTTTTACGGACGAAGTTTTTCCAGCTCGATGTACATCGATGAAGATGGCGACATTGCCAACGAGTTCTATGCGGAGGACCAGTTAGGCACGAAGCGGCGGCTTTGCCGGATTATGAAGAATCTCCGGCCACAGGTGCTTTCGTCAGCGTTAAAGGGCTGCCGACGGCATGTGTCGATCCCCCCCCCATCAACAAATTGGCAAGTAGCCAACAGGGCAGAGAGCGCGCCAAGGGGGAGAGGCGCAAAGACATTTTCTTTCCAGCGCGTAACCGAATGCCTATGCCGTCGGCATCCCTTTAATTTCATCTTTATTTTTCAGGGCACCGAACGGTACCAAATCCCGCGTCTGAATCCCGATTGCCCCGTCGTCATGCTCGAGATGAAGGCCCCATGATCCTAGGATACGGAATTAGTGTTTGTTTTTTGTTGTTGTGTGCTCGTCAGATCTTTCAACTCGTCTCACCGGTTGTGCCCTTGTTGCGTCCCAAAAGAGTCAGTACAGATTTCTCCCGCCCAGAATCAGCTGTGTACAAAGTTTGCCCATCCCTCTTGAACCTTTTTCGATTGAACCGTTTGGTCACTCAGTGTCTCGCCTAGTCGTCCTCGCCCCCGCGTATTAATATTTTGCAATGTCCGTGCACTCCCCGAGATTTTTTTTCGAATGATAAAAAGATTTATTGCATTTGGAGAAAGTCGCAAATCGATCACTATTATTGACGTAAGGCTTAACGAAATATTTTCAGGGCGTGGGAGGAAGGGCTTCTTCTGGGTGTAAGCTTGGGGCTAGTCGCTGTCTTCCTCCATCAGGGTGTTGGTGGGGCAGGTGGAGGCGGCGGCGAGGTCGACGTAGTATTCGGAATCCATTCCGGGCTGCGTCGTGTAGTGCTGAAAGCGCTTTTTCATAAGGTTGACAGTTTTCACCGAAACTTGGAGGGTGCATGGATTTTGGAGGAGAAAAAGCTCGAACTCACCCAGCTTCCTCCAGCGTGATAATCCATTGGCGAGCGGGCCGTGTCCACGATCGACGAAATTGAGGAGAGGGTCTGAACACCCTAGCTGATGCCATAATGTCGGTGTCATAGAGAATGGGGAAGATGAACAGAAAGCCTGGCGTTTTGAGAACGGGCCGAAAACTGACTCTTCGCTTCTTCACCTCGGAGGAGTCGCTGTGCTCGGCGAAGGGGAGCGTCTGGTCGGGGCTGATGCGCTTCCGCGAGCTCGTCGACAGCGGGGTGGTCTTGAAAAAGACTTGTCATTTGCTCGTTGTAGGATCCAACCATTTCGCTGGCCGGGATGGCCGTGGAGACGTGACGGTCTCCCTCGGCGCTGGCGATGATGGCACGCAGCGCCATCGCCGACTCGGCCAGCCGCTGCTCGCGCTGTTTGAGGTGCTCCTCGACGACGTCCAGCTGAGAATGTGGACATTCGGCCGTTCAGGTGGTCAAACCTCGCCGAGCTCGGCCTCAACTCGGCCTTTCCACGTGGCCACGCCGTCCAGCACTCCCATATAGGCCTGCTTGCCCTGTGCGCTTGTCTAGAAAAGTTGTCGTTCCAGGAGCTTAGTTTTAAGCTGATCCTCGGCCCGTAACGATTACGTAGAGTCCGCCGTTTTTTAACGTCGAGCCCTGTTGATGCTCACCATCACTGCCTGCCTCCCGACTTCCATGTCGTAGTTGTTCGTCTCCTGATCGCCGCGCGCCTGCTCGCCGCGCACACCATCTCGTAGCAGTTCGATCGCCGCCTGGACGTCTGCGTTTCCAGGCGCTAATCCGTTGCCACTCACCGCAACGTCCATGCGGCAAAGATCGGGAATTGTCGGGCCGCCCGCGCGGCAGCAAGTGGATAGTAAAAAATGGCTTGTGTTGCGTCAATCTTGCTCGTCGGGTTTTATTAAAATTTTTATTCACTTCCGGTCACACATTCAAATTGCTATTGAAGCGGTAGCCGCGTTTCTGGAGGGTATGGCGGAGGTAGTCGATTTGTTTCGTCTCGACCGGGCTGATGCCATTTCGGTAGAACTAAAGTTTTTTAAATATTTTTTTATTTAGGGCGCATATCTTACGACTGCGAATGTGTTGTGTGCTTCGTTGTCGAGGACGTCATCAGGTTCGTCTTGGACGAGCGTACATCTGGAAATTTTTGAGGTAAAACGATTATAAATGTCCCTTAAAGTTTACTTTTACTGCCGTTAGTGTATATTAGCTATTGAGTATAGCTTAGTTTAGTTTTATTAATATTTATACTAGTTTATTGCTAGTTTTCAACTTAGATGGTCAAAACGTAGCGTTCGCTTACCTCAATGACGGTTTTGACAGGATTAGGGCCGCGTAGAATTTCAGGTGTGATTGTTCGTCGACGAGCATGTATTGTGCGATGCCCTCGTCAAAAATCTAAGCATTTTTAGATACCTCCAGCCTTAAAATTAGATACCCGAATATTCGCGTCATTTTCCCAGGCTGGATCCCAGTTTTCGACGACGGAAAAGACCTATAAGGATTATTGAATTTCTCGAATAATCTCCGCTAGTATCCTGGTAAGGGTTTAGTTTAATTTCCTCCAGGATCTCTGTGAGTGCCCGCAAATTTTCGCGCACCTGTTCCAAGTCAATATGCGGTAGTGTTGGGCGGAGTAGCCGGGTGGAGACTTCTTTTTCTTTCGGCATTTTTTAGGAGCGGGTCTAGGTATCGAAATTGAAACTTTAAAACCAGAGACGAAAGTAGTAAAACTAGAAAGAGAAAACAAAGGGTGGCCTTGGGGGAAAAACGTGCGGAAATTAGGCAGCGATCAGAGCGGGGAGGAGGAGGATGAAGAGGAGAATTACACAAGTGTGGGGAGAAAAATGACCTTGCGAAATGACCACTGGGTTTCGTGGGTTTAGAAGAACATGCGGAGCGTAAAAAAGTAGTCCTAAGGTTAATTTAGTCGTAAAATTAATGATGGTTTTAGGAGATAGACGGAGAAAAGAAACCTTTATAGTTTGCGAGAATCGGTTCAAGCTAGTAGCAAGGTTTTAATTTGGTTTATAACATTTCCTGTTTAGGTTTTCATAACGAGAGGAAAGCGAGGGCAGTCTAGCAACCGAATTTGGATACAACAAGGGCAAGCTAGCAGAAACCCTTTAGGATGCCAATCCGAACGGTCGTATTCTTGACGCTACGAGCTCTTAAAGGGATTATCCGCGTGGGAGGGGGCCCGTTGACAGTTCAGCGCGGAGAGGTCTGTCAAGCGGATACGATAACGGGTTCCGCCCTGGGAATCACGAACACCTCCCGTCGATCGGATGGCCGGCGGAAAACGATCAAAGAACGTGGAAAAGCCTCCGAAATCTGGCCCGAAATTGCGAAATGTTTTTGAGGAAATTGGAATTTCGTATCAGATTCATTTTCCTTTAAACTGAATTTTTCCTATGATTCAAGAAATGACTAGTAACGGAATAGTGAGTGGTTTGTTAGTGTTTTTAGTAAAATTTAACTATATTTCAATTTGGGGGAAACTAGCTAAATTTAAAAAAATTAATTTTCAACGTTTTGGCCGAATAGCAATCGATTTTTTCGCATTATCTCAATATAATAATTCGTGAAATTACCTTTAGGAATAATCAAAATAATTTTGGAACGAACATGTAAATTTGAAAAAACCTGGCACTCGAAAAATAGAATCGAAAAAATCTGCTATACTAATGGCTTACCGGCCCGTTTAAAGAGACCAGGAAAAAGCTAGAGAGCTCTAGTAGAGACCGTATAAATTAGAGAGCAGCAGAAAGCGAGAGAAAAACAGAAAAAAGCATTCCCTGTTGAACTCGTCATTTTCGAGACGTGCGTTGGAGGTAGTGACGAGAAGACAAGCCTCCAGAGTGCGATTTGCCCCAATATTTGCTATTTGCCAATGGGTAGGAGAATGGGGGGTTGGGCCCTTGGATTGTGGGCCCCCATTCTCGCCTGTCCGACTTCAACCCCCCGACATTGGCAATCTGCACAAATATGGGGGGCATGGTATTGGAGGCGACACGCGGGGCCCTATTTGGCATCGGCCAAACACGGGCTAGCTTACAAAGTGCCTTTTGGAAAATAGAATAGAGTAGAGAAAACTAAGGAAATAGTGAATTTTGCCTAGATTCTAATCGGTACGGTATTTTTGGTTATGTTTTTCGTGCAGACCGGGTTGCATAGCAAAAAACTTTGTGGAAATTCGGGTCTGGGCGTGGCAGACTAACAGAGAAAATTGAGGAAGCAGTAAAATTTGGCTAGATTCGAATAGATACTGTATCATTTTTTGATCGAACGAGATGGCAGACGAGCAGAAAATTTTTAGGACAATCGGGTATATTCGTGGCAAGCTAGCAAAGAATTTTGAGGAAACAGTAAAATCTGACTGGGTTCGTATAGCTACGGTATCCATGTGACCGTTTGAGGACGGCAGGCGAGCAAAAAAAATTGAGGAAAATAAAAAGATATCCGTGTTTTTTTAATAGATACGGTATTTCCTCAAGACTTTCTGCTAGTATACCTTAAGAATTGGGAAATTTGGTGAGTTTTGAGGCAGCGTTGGTGTCCAAAAAAGCAATCTTCACCACAGCATCAAAGGCGCCGCGCAATTTGGCTGAACGCATAAATATAGGTAGTAACCTGGGGATGGGGAGGGGAAAAGCGGCGATAGGTTGAATGGGGAAACCTTTGCCATGACACCAAATCGATAGTGGCCGGCGGCCAGGGGCGCTGACCACTCCATTGTATAGGTACGGTTTTGGAGAGAAAGTGCCCTAAAATCCCGATTATAGTTCCGGTACACTATAGCGACGTAACAATACAAATGACGCTCTAATAATATGCGTCCCCGCCCTCTCACCGCAAAAGCTATTTCATTTCATTCCCCCTTTCAGAAACGGAGTTATTTGCAAGAAACCGAAAAGCGAAACACACCTATTTACGGTCATACGGAATTACGACCGCTACGTACGTACGTTTTTCGCCCGAAGCCTTACTCGGAATTTTACGGTACAATTAAAGGCTTTTGAAGGGGGGGGGGGGAATCCAATAAAATCGGAAATTTCGGAAAACGGGAAAAGTGAAGCGCTGCCCTGCCCAGTGCATCAGCTGGGCACTGAGTAAGCCGAAAAATAAATATTACCGCGCGGGGGTTGCGGCGAGCTGATGGGGGGTTTGAACCCGCCTGTTTCTGCCAGGTGACCAACCCAAAATATAAATACTTTACGGAGAGTTGGGAGGTAAAAACGCTAAAGTTTGTTACGAAGTCTAAAAATGTGATTTTTTTAGAATTTTTGACTTAATTTTTGTATTTGCTGTTTGTAATGTCTAGCGGCTCTTTTAGTGAGGTGAAGATTTATCATCGATTTCTGGTGATCTATTTTTTTGCGATTTTTTGGAGTAATATTGATGAAAATAACCTTTTAATTTGTAGTTTGAAGTCTGCTATATTGCGAGTTTTTGATAAATATAATTTTATTCGATATTTTGTAGTCTATAACCTGGGTAAGCAAACCGCTATTCCAATTTTTTTGGTAGTTTCTGTAGATTTTTTGCTTTTGTATTTACGTGTAGCTTATAGTTGCCAAAGCTCGAGCCTGTACTTTGTAGCATGATCGCATTTTTGTGGAAAACTAGGACCTGCAGTCACGCCCTCTTTAATTCCACAAAATTCTCTGCTCGTTACATTCAATCCGGAATAACATGTCGTAACCGGTTAGGTGCATTTTTTAGCGTAAAATAACGCATAAAAGTGCAAAATATAAAATTTTATCAATCTGATGAGATCAACGGGGGGAGAGAATGGCGCGAAAAAATGGCTTCAATTTTTAAAATTCAGTCATAATTATCGTAATCGATTTACATGGTTTTTAAAGGTATCGGGAAGGCAAAATTGAGGCCCATCTGTATAAATTCAAGGGGCACGGAAGCTCTCGAATTTCGTGGAAAATATCGCAATTTTGCGGCTAGACTTGATCGCCGTGCGCCTGCGCGTACTTTTTGATGATCTTCTCCTCGCGCAGCTTGACGACCTGCATGAAGTTGTTCACCTGAAAATATTGAGTAAAATTTAATAAGTGAAAGTAAAAATAATTTTTTGTATGGAATTTTGAAAAACAAAAACTTAATTTAAAAAAAATTTGATTTTTCTTAAAATTTTGTAAACTTTTGCATGTTTTTATGAAATACCTACCATGATTGTGATCGGTAACGCCAGCACCATCACGCCACAAACAATCGCGCCCGAGCCGACCATTTTTCCCGCTGAAACCGAGAAAATTTCGCAAGTCCAACTTATTTTAAACAGTAATAACATTAATACTAAGTGTTAAATTTAAAATAATGATAAATCGACGAAATAATCAAAAAGGATACCTTACAAGATTACAGAAAAACTTACCAACTGTCACTGGGACCAAATCTCCATACCCTACAGTAGCCATCGTCACGACGCTCCTGAAAATTGGTTACGGTAAGAAAACGAGCGTATAAAAATACGGTATTGACATTGGGCTTTTAATAACTTTTTTTTTGTTAACGATTCATGGGTATTTCCAGCATAAGAACGGTTAAAAACGTTATTCTGAAATCCTTGGATTTCCTCGTTGTTTTAGATTTCATTGTTTATATCTTTAAAAAGAAACCAAGCACCCACCACCAAAACGCTGCCGGGATAGAGGTGAATTTCGTGTCGGGCTCGTCCCGTTCGAGGAAGTAGATGAGGGTAGAGAAGAAGATCACCTGGAGGAAATAGTCTCTCTCGCTTCTCTCTCTCTCTCTCTCTCTCTCTCTCTCTCTCTCTCTCTCTCCCTCTCTCTCTCTCTTTCTCTCTCCTCTCACCCACTCTCTCATTCTCACTATTTCTCTTGCTCAGCCTCGCTGGCTCACTAGCTTGCTCATTCCTTCAAGTTCCCTCTCACTCGCTCTCTCTCTGTCTCTCTCTCACTCTCTCGCTCTCTCTCTCTCTAACTCACCACAGTAGCCATCACAACCCCAACCATCTGCATCTGCTTCTTACTCTTCCGAATCGTCAGCGCAAAGTTGGCAAGACCTGTGAGGTAAAAGGTAGTTTGTATGGTAGATGAGAGATTTTACCAGGCGAGAATCTGCCAAGCTTAGCGATGCGAATGACGCGGAGGACACGGAGGAGACGCACTGTCAGAAATGCCCATCGTACCTTACGGACGTTGTCGCCAGAGATGCCGATCTGAAATTAAGACTGGGATACGCCCCCCGATAATGCCAAAACACCACATTAAAAGTTAAAGCTGCGTGTCGTACGCTTCGTAAAATGTATAGTAATCCAACTATTTCACCCACCAATATCAACAGCATCTCGATCAAAAACGGCGCAATCGACAGCAGGTCGATGACGTTCAAGAACTGACGGGCGAACGCCACTTTCCGAGGCGCGACCTTAAAAAAAACACTACGAATGCTCCGAATACCGTACCCAAAACCGCAGCGCGTACTCTATCGAAAAATAGACGACGCAAATGTTCTCGACGTAGTTGAACACGGGATGTTCCACCATTTCGGGGGTTTCGCCTGGAATTTTGGGGAAGAGTCGCAAATTGTCTCGGCTCGTGAGCCTGAATTTCGATGAATTCCACAAATAATCTCTGCTAGCATGCCTGCTTTTAGATCCCAAATTAAAAAGTAATTCTGGTTTTCTCGT